CGGCTGTCAAGTCAATGAGGAGAGAGCTTTGAAATCTCAATGCTTTTTAGAAGCTGCAAGTTGGAAAAAGCACCGCAGGTTCCCAGGGCTGCTGGAGGCGGGAGGAGGGCAGGGGCAGAGGCGGCTTTGGGAGGCGGTTTTCGGTGCGAGGAGCTGTGCTCCCCAGAGTCAGCCCCCGTGTTTTGGGGCCCTGCGAGCGCTGAGCCCCCAGCAGGATCCTGGCTCTGTGACCCGCTGGAGGGACAAGTTTTCCCCGGAGTTTTAGTTATTCCGGTCGCAGTTGTCCAGCCCCTGTGCAAGGGGCTGTGTGTGGCCCCAGCCTGGCCCATCAGCTGCGCCGCGCGGCGCTCAGCGCACTCATCAGTGACGCCCCAGCCGGGGGAGTTTTCTGGGTAAAATGTTGTTATTTTGCCAATTGTAGCCAAATAGTTTTGTCCATCACCTGACATTCAGTCAGCAGCATTTCAGAGAGGAGGCTGTGGTGACCAGGTAGCATTTGAAATCACACGCAGCTGAAGCCGGGCTGGACCCGGGCGCTCGCTTTGGCCCGTGATGAGGACGCGCATCACCCATCACGATGTCTAAATTCCCGCGACATCGTGGTCAGACGAACTCTGTGCGCTCCCGTCATCGACTCAGTTTTGCTTTTCCCTGTTATTTTCTTTACTCAAAGCACAAATCACTTCAGGTTTAAAATGTGGAGTTTAATTCTAGCTCAAATCAGGTTTAAATCTGAATTTCCATCGAGTTAGACGTTGTTTCTAAACAGTACAAATATCTGATTAGCAGATTGCTTTTCTCCTACCTGCTCATCCATGCAATGAAATGCAGAAAAGTGAATTGTGGTCGTAAAACAACCATCCTGTCGAAGCCGCAGAGGCAGCAGTGGGAAGTTTAATTTAATTAGTGTGATACTTGGAGATGTAACTTAATCACATTAAGTATAGATCAACGTGCTCCCATTTAAGCTCTCCAGACTTCAGAAAACAGGGGCCAATTCTCTTCCACCCATCCTTAATCCAGGGAGAAGCAGAATTTTCCAAGGAAAATGAACCAGCAAGGCTTATGGAGAGCTTGCCCCTGTGCTTGTTTCAGGGAATTTCTCCCCAAAGGAAGGTAATAAATTAGTAAGAGCTTCCCCCTCACCCCCCCGCATAGCACCGTTGTTCCTGGGGAGCAAGAAGCCAGGAAAATCACTTTTTGTCCCTCTCAGGTGGCCAAGCGTTGCCTTACTTGGTACACAGTCTGACACCAAGCACCCAAACCCCTCCGGGTTCCTTCGGCGCGTGGTCGTGCCCACCCCCCCGCCAGCCTGGAGGATCGCAGAGAGGTTGAAGGGTCTGAAGATTGTACAAAGCCAGCACGGTTCATTAGCGGGAATCGAAATGATCTTCTCGCTCCCCTGGGCTTCCCGCTGCCAGCGCCGTGCGTTTGAGCCAAGCTCAGCAGGTCGGCATCGCTCCCCGGAGCTCAGCAGAGCCTGGGGGGGTGGGGGTCCCCTTGGCCGCATCCTGCCAGCACAGGCGCGGGGGGAACCAGGCAGTGCTTGCCAGAGCACAGACGCCACGGCAGAGCCGCCAAGGTGCTGTAAAAGTTGCTTGGGCTCATCTTAACCCTTAAAATAAGCGGGGTTGGTGTGTTTGTTGGGAAAGGTCCTCGAAGAGTGGGTTTGG